TTATTTCTTAAGGCAAGAAATTGTGAAATGCCCCATGTGCGTGCAATGGAATGGATAATGGAAGCACGCGATCGCGATATGAAGCCACCGAGCCACCGACCGACTATCCTTCCGGCCACCGTCATGTATTTCCCTTTAAAGTCGCGCCCTCCCGCTTGTCTGAGCCCTCTCTATCTTGGACTCGCACCATCACCAGCAGTACTCTGCGCACGATCTTGTAGCTCCCCAGCTCGACCGCCTGCACAATCTAGCACTCATATCCAACATACCACGTATCAAACTCATCGACAAAGCGCATGTATCTATTAACCGCCTTAAGCCTCATACTTGCATACATCGTACGTGTCTTTTTAAGCCACATTCCACCTCGCCTGCTAACGACATACTCTTGCAGACCACGATGGTCTTTCGACAGTTGATACGACTCTTGAGCTACAGCAACTTCACGTCCGCATCGAATGAGCCAGCGGAATCTCCTGAAAGTCCAAGCGCCGTTGTCGCTGGCCCAATCCACACCGAGCTAGGTCTCGATTCGTCAAAGTCGGAACCGCATATCGTTCCTTCTGTGCCTTCACTCCCCGCTACTACGCCCAACACCGAGACGAGAACCGATGCCTCAGAGTATACATCCTCTGTTCCGTCCATTATTAACCATTCGACTCAAGTCTCGTCTCCGAATGAGGTATGTGTATCTAACGGCTCACCACCGACCTGCAACTGACAGAATCGGGGAAAGATTAAATCTCATTCACCGTCAGAAGCACCTCAGACGCTTCCACCAGACATGCTCAGGCTTGAGGCGCTGTACAACATCGACTTCTCACAGATCGATCTTTCACAGATTGGTCCTACACCGGAACAACGTGCGAGAGGCGCTAGACCTCTCCGGCGTGAACGCATCAGGTACCTTGATGACGTCTATCCGCAGTACCACCTACCTTATCCTGGGAAGATGCTGGTTCGTCACGGCACGGTGAATGTTGATGACTGGACTCGTGCGTACTTGTCGAGAGTTCGCCATTGAGCGAAGATAGAAATACGAAAAGAAAGTACTCCTAGGGAAGGCGAATGGCATTCTATCTTATACCCGCCATCGTCTTCTCGGTTCCCTGCATCTTTGTACCCTCGCGTCAATGGGATTCTCGCGCCTTTGTCATTTGTCGGCCAGTTGGGCAATGAATACCTTTTCTTCCTCTGTTTGGACATTTACTTGTACTTATTTATTGTTTTCTTTTCTTTGTTTTTGCATTGTCTCTGTTTCATGGCAGACCTTTCTTCGTAATAACGGGTGTATACCATTGTTTCCCCTTTGCCCGTTGTTGTCGTGTTTGGTTTTATCCTTGGTTTTTTTGTTGTTTTCTCGCATTCGCCTGTACTTTTATCTGTGCATTGTACATACCTTGCGCAGGGTTGACTTGCGTTTTCATAAAAGAATGATATTGAGATGTCGTTAAGGGATATGGACGACGATCTGAAGCCAAACTGCTTTGTGTGCCTTAGTTTTTGCCTGAGTCAAGGTTAGGAAGGTTCTGTTATCGATTGCTAACGTATAGCGCTTGCATCTTTCTGCTACTTATTGCTAGCCAACTGAGTCTGTAGTTATATAAATCATTCCTTATAGTTATCCTAACTATATACAGTGTTCTTTACTGTTCTCCACTACTGATATCAAGATTACCCAGAATTACCATTTCTCCTCTGATGCATTCTGCTCCACTGTAAAACTTCCTTCATCAAACATTACCCACTGCAAACAACCTTTGGTTTCTATACCCTTCTGTTGTGACCAACATGCAAATTTTCATCAACTTTGCTAGATGGATACCTGATCTTACTAAGATTAATAAGAACTGTTTCATTGATACATATACATTACCTCCCCATCTGAAAGATAGCTCTTGTTTCTGTCTGCTTGAAAACAAGAGCTTTAATAAACTCACAAAAATCCTAGAAACAAGCACAGTCATAGAGCTGTCCAGTATACTTCTGTTCCTCAGTATCATTAATCTTCATAATCACTCTTCTTGGATCAGATAGATTTAAAGACAGATTGTACAATGTATATTCTCTACACACCTTGTACATCTGATAGTAACTCTGTACTACTTGATTCATATCTATCTGAAAGGCAACAGATTCTGATATAAGTTCATAAGGTTTGATTTCAATACAGCCTTTAAGAATATTGTAAATTATATGTCTGGCTCTATCAGCTCTTAAGTCTCTCTAATTTGTGTCTTACTGTAAAGATTAACTGAACAATAAACTTATGTTTGGTTAATACATAGTTTGAGTTGGGATAAATAAGTATTACTGTATCAAACACATTAGACAATACACCTGATCATTTCTGGCATAGAAATTTATGTAATGATTGACTACAACTAGAGATAATATAAGTGTTAACATTTATTTCGGATAAATGTGTCATATGTCTCAAATCACACAAACGTCTTGCAAATATACACTATTGCTGAGACATGTCTTCCAAGACATACATCCAAGACATACAATATTAGATAGCATATATATTACTTCAATCTAAGGACAATGAAGCTCATTAAGAACTTATGCACAGTTGACTCGTATTGACACCTACACACTATGAGCAGAGTCCACTGAACCCCTACTAGTGTGACTTACTCTTAGTATCCTTGTGAGCAGTGTGCAAACCTATGGAAGAATATTTCCTATCAATTAGGAAACATTGCAACCTAAACATGCTAACAGGTTATGAGCCTTGCACTCCCTGCTCATATCTACATTGTTACTATGCTTTTACCTTACCCTCTACAAACGCAACGCTTTGAAATCATCATCTCCACAATTATGATTTCCCCCTCAGTAGTTATATGTATGACTATATGCACCACAATCATCATCTCAAACGCTTTGGTGTACTATACACTATAGTACAAATGATTTGATACACTCAATCATATTATACTCAATAAGTATCATCAAACTACTCCATTTAACACTGAATCCACTTGATTCTACATGTACAATCTATTCTACTCATCTACAAACCTTTGGCACTCCCATCTGAGCATACCAAATGTGAATTGTCTTGTCCTGAAGACTACAATCTCTCTATACAACAAGACATACTATGATACTTGTAGAAGGAACGTATTATCTACAAGGACCTAGACACACCTGTCTGAGCATCCCAAACGTGTATTGATTTATTAAAATAACTTTGGACAGATTAGTTGCTTTAAAAGCAATGAATACCCAGTGATACTATATCCAAACACTGAATTACTTTATCTTACACTACAAAGATATGTTATAATAATAACATCTCACATAACAAACAAACATTTGATATTATATTAATAATACAAATGATTAATACTATAAACGAAAGAATAATGCTAGCAAAGCATAATAATAATATAAAGAAATACTATTGCAAACATACAATCAAACTAATAATGATTAGACAAACAAATAATATGAAAACAAGAGTATAAATGTGACTAAAGCATAATAACTCAAATATAAAAACGATTTATACTATCACAAACACACAGTCACAATAAATAACATATATTTACCATATACAAATATATTGTATAGATATACGAATATACAAATGTACAAAGTAATAATAATGCAATCAAACGTATAAAACTATTATTTATTAAATAATGCAAAGTTATATGCAAATGCAATTGAACAAACACATAATAACAATAAAAACAATTAATAAAACACACGAAACAATGTTGTGAACATTCTAAACATATAATAACAAACATATATACTTATACAAAGTATAGAATTAAATTAAACCATAACGTTACAAATGAAGAAACAATATAATGATGCATATATGTATAATATTGACATTATAAACTATACAGACGAATACATATCTTATACCTTGCACAATTACTATTACAATGCAAAAATCAAACAAACAATAGTTACAAATACATTGTAGCAATATAATGTATCAATATGACATACATGATAACAAAGTATTAAGTCAATACAATTAATACAAACAGTTTAAACAATATAAACATATTTCAGACGCATCAAAAATATTATTAACATACAAAATGTTATAAACAATTAAACATCACTTAAAAACTTAACAAAATACAATAATACAGACACAAAACAAAATAACTAATGCCTTGAAAACATTAGAGCCTAACATTGGATAGTCTGAAGGGCCAAGTGACAGAAAGAACACTGCTGCCAAGTACACAAAAGACAAACAAACGTTGGAACAAAATCCAAAAGAAACAAACATAAGTTCAGAACTCAATCAGACACTTCACTAATGATTAAACACAATGTGTGACAGATTTAATTGATTACTGCAAACAGCAGAAAGATATTTATTCACAAAAGAATATATCTATGATCAATAAATAACAAATATCATTAACTATTCAAAGTCCAAACAATGTCATAATAGTGTATGCTTCATTAATGGCCTTGCTTGAAGCTTGTGCCCATCACAAAAAGAATTAAATTAATAAACAGAATGGAAACAAGACACAATAGCTCAAATACTTTTGTCATCAAACAGAAGACAAATGATACTGAGCAAAACAAAATAATGCACTACTCAATGTATGCAAATATAACAAACAAAATATGCAAACTTAACATTGCTAAACAATACAATGGATTATATTTATCCAAATAACAAACTATTCAGACATACACATAACAATCAAACAAAATACATGAGCATACATGCAATCTATTTGAGTATAAACTTGAATAACAATCAGTATAATGCCAAAAAAAAGAATTAATAACTAAATCAGATGAAGATAACGAATAACATTGAAATTATTCAACAAAACACATTCACACATTCACATACAATGCTTAAACAAATAATAGAATGATGAAAACGTACAAACAAATTGATTATACACAAAAGCCAATTACTCAAAGCAAACCTTCTTAAATTGAAGGGGAGTAATAACAGCATATATTCACAAAACATAAAACATAACGAACAAACGATTGAAACATAGTGAACAATTAAATGATGCAGAAATATTGACTACATCACTATTTAATGTTGCACATCCTACAAAACACAATTATAAAGTTATTGCAATGAATTCAAAGCAAATCTGTTGAATCTGACAAGCAAATCCAATGAATCTGACAATAATATACTTATGTAAGAGACATTTTCTCTAAAAACTTTGATGGTTACACTATACATAACACTATTGAACAAATTACAAAAGAATATATTATGGATTATATACTTAAACACAGAGAAGTACACTACATACAACAATGTTGAGTGGAAAAGCATCTCCAGTACATATTGAACTATATGGAATTATAGAACAGAACTATGTCTTCTGCAACAGAATGTATGTTACATTGAAAATAACAATTATGTATCACACAAAACTTCCAACACTTATTCCCTAACATGTAGGACATAATAGTGAACGAATAACTAAGTAAACAAAATAATATTCAGACATATAACTGGGAAATAATCCAGACAAGCTAAGAAATGGCACATATTCCCAAAGCAATCTACACTAGACGTGTGAAGCACTCACTAAAATTAAAAGAAGTAACAGATGTAACAGCAATCAAAACATTAATCCTTTCAAAGCAAACAAGATAATGTTGATCATAATGAACAAAATGAGCAATACACTCAAAATTAATGAAATAAATTCATATCTTATAACGAATGTATACATATATTCAGTGAATAAAGTGAATATAATAATTAAAACAATATCAAACAGAATTTGATACAAAATAAACAATAAACAAACGAATATTACAATATACAATGAAAAATAGAACTGCAAAATACACTATTTCATCTATCTACAAAATAAAAACAACAAACACGTATTATAATTGTGTAAAGCAATATATATTAATCAAATAACACTATACAATGATAATAAAAACATTATCACAACAATAAAACAATACAAACATACAAATAACATTATAGTTTGTAAAAGTTGAAGGACACATTAAACAATAACAAATACAATACAC